AGTTAAATCTGGTCCTCTGGACATTCAAAAAAACAAAACAAAGCAAATCAACAAAAAAATGTAGAAACGTTTCGTCTCTCATCCGAGAGACTTCCTCAGTCTGAGGAGCTGTATTCAGCTCAGTCTCTTAAATAGCACCGTCAACTGACTCTCGGATGAGAGACGAAACGTTTCTACATTTTTTTGTTGATTTGCTTTGTTTAGTTTTTTTGAATGTCCAGAGGACCAGATTTAACTTTTTTAGGTAGAACAGTGTGTTTAATTTTGGAGCAAAGTAAGAATGCCATAATTATATATATATATATATATATATATATATATATATATTTTTTTTTTTTCATTCATTCATTCAACCTTTATTTCTACAGGTAAATCCCATTGAGCCCCGAGGACTCATTTACAAGAGAGACCTAACTTCAACAAAGAAAGATGACAACAGCGCCAACAATAAACAGTTATAAAAAGTCATACAGATTTTCTTTTTTTTAAACAAATAGGATGGCTAAAAAAGAAAAGTAACAAAAAACAGCTAGATTCTAAGGCGACTGTAGAAAACTTAAAACAGAAACATGTCTGCATTGGACCCTGCCAGGAGTCCAACAGATTCTTAAAGCCAAGGTCGAGAGCTTCAAATCTTTTTACAAGATATTCCAGGAAACAGGAGCTGAGTAAGAGAAGGCACCTTTGTCTAGTTCAGTCCTCACTGAGGGAACACTGCAGGTAATAATGTCCTGAGAGCGCACGCTGTAGCTGCACTCACGCAGAGACATGTAGGAGGAGATGTATGAAGGCAGCAGACCAGGAAGTGATTTAAAAATGAAAATGTACCTGTGAGAGAGTCTGCGTGAAGTTAATGGTGACCAGTTAACCAGTGAATACTGGGTGCAGTGATGGGTACTATAATCACAGCCAGTTATGAATCTTAGTGCACCATGATAGACAGCATCCAACATCTGCAGCATCCAACATCTGCAGCATCCAACATCTGCAGGGTTCTTGTAGGAGCATTCATGTAAATAATGTCACCGTAATCAATGGAGGGAAGGAAAGTCACAGATACAAGGCATGTCCTAGTATTCAGAGTTAAGCAAGATCTATTTCTGAAAAAGAAACCCAGTTTTAATTTCAATTTCTTTATCAAGTTTTTGACATGAGGCATAAAAGAGAGATGTGCATTGACCCAAATTCCCAAGCATTTGTAATAATCCACAAATTAAATAGGAAGACGATTTGTAGATAAGATAGGATGAAGGACTGCTCAATGTTTAATGAGGAGGTGGGGGATGCTTCTTTACTTACATCTAACAGTCTCTCTACTCACACCTGCTCATTGCTGCCCTGTACTTACATCAGTCTCTCTATGTACACCTTCTCAATGGTAAATGGTAAATGGACTGTACTTATACAGCGCCTTTCTATCTGATCAAGATACTCAAAGCACTTTACACTACAATCTGTGTCCTCATTTACCCATTCATACAGCTATCGACTAGATCTCTATAAAGCTAACTGAACACATCATTCTAAAGAGACTAATCAGAGCTTTATCACATTCAAACACCGATGGATCAATGACTGCTGTACTTACAACAAACACTCTCTCTACGTACACCTCCTCATTGCTGCGCTGCACTTACTGTGCATCAAACAGTCTCTCTATGTTCACCTCCTCATTGATCAATGTACTTACATCAAACAGTCTCTCTACGTACACCTCCTCATTGATCTTCTCCCTCAGCATGTCCTGGGAATGACGGACAAACATCACATAACTGTCAGCAACATCCAGCCCTGGCTTCTACACAAAGAAACAAGCACAAAGAGAGGGAACAAGACATTACTTTGAGAAATTTATATAATTTTACCAATATTTTCTTTTACTACTTAAATTATATTTGTTTAACAGTATAAACTGCTCAGACATTAATTTACACTTTAAGAAATGGTAGCAGTTGACTCATCATCACAGACTCCTGATGTATGCTCAATAATCCAAGTAGAAAAATCTAAAAAAGTTAAATCTGGTCCTCTGGACATTCAAAAAAAAAAAAACAAAGCAAAAAAATATAGAAACGTTTCGTCTCTCATCCGAGAGACTTCCTCAGTCTGAGGTGCTGTATTCAGCTCAGTCTCTTAAATAGCACCGTCTCAGAGTGGATCAACCAGTTTTGCTGCTGACAACCAAAACCAGCTGATCACATGATGAAGAAGGACCATCAGCCTAACAAAGGATCATTAGCACCTGATGGCTGTTTACTATTCACAGAGGGCTGAGTGATACTAGCAATCACAGCATTGTAAGAGGGGGACAGTTGAACCCGGAGGCTCCACCCCTGTTTAATGATGGACGGTTTCTTTTCACAAAGATGGCCTCCTTTACTCCTCTCTCAAACCATCGTTCCTCTCTGTCCAGGATGTGAACATCTTCATCCCTGAAAGAGTGACCTCTG